GAAATACTGCCAATACCCTTCAATATGTATATTTTCGGAACCGGGATGACATCTAGAGACTAAAATGTTGTCCAGCGCTGCCTATTTCAGAAAAAAAGTGGTAAACACTGCTAAATACCCTCCGGAGCGGGATGACGTCTTGAGACCGAAAATCGATGTCCGACGCCATTGTTTAATCCAACATGGTGGCTCTCAGATTCTGAAAAACTGTCATATACTCTACTATATGGGTATTCACGAAACGGGTTCGACGAAAATATATGATACTATTTTGTAATCCAATATGGCGGCTCTCAGATTCAGAAAAACTATCAAATTTGGGTATTTTCGGAACATTCCCGGAAATCGAGGTCTGACACCAGTTTTGAATCCAAGATGGTGGCAAGTGACTTAAAAAAAAACGTGTACGCCCCAAAAATTGATGTCTGACGCCATTTTGGAATCCAAGATGGCAGCCGTTGTTTTCTGAAAAGCTGTCAAATTCTACGATATGGATATTTTCGGTACAGGACGCGTGTATGATGCCGAAAACCGATGTCCGATACTATTTTTGAAATCCAAGATGGTGGCTCTCAGATTCGGAAAAAACTGCCAAATACCCTACATTATGGGTATTTTCGGAACAAAACTACAATTTATGTCCGACGCCATTTTGTAATGCAAGATGGCGGCCATTGACTTTAGAAAAAACTGTCAAATACCCAATAATATAGATTTTTGAGATGACATGTAGATGCCGAATAACAATGTCCGACACCATTTTGAAATCCAGGATGGCGGTTTCCGGTTTCAGAAAAGGATATGAATACAGCCATATACCCTTCAATATGAGTATTTTTGGAAAAGGAACGACTTCTAGAGAATTACATCTAGAAATAGTAAATGAGTGACCTAAAATCCATATTGGATTTTAAGATGGCACTGGATATCCATTTTTGGTCTCTAGACGTCATACCGATTCCGAAAATATACATATTGGTGGGTATTTGGCAGTATTTCCCACTTTTTCTGAAATTGGAAGCCGCCATCTTGGATTTAAAAATGGCGTCGGAAATCGATTTTCGAACTCGAGACGTCATCCCGATTCTGAAAATACCCATATTGAAGGGTATTTGGTAGTATTTCCCACTTTTTCTGAAATCGGCAGTCGCCATCTTTGATTTCCAGATGGCGCTGGGCATCGATTTTCGGACTCGAGACGTCATCCCGATTCCGGAAGTACCCATGTTGAAGGGTATTTGGTAGTATTTCCCACTTTTTCTGAAATCGGTAGCCGGCATCTTGGATTTCGCGCTGAGCATCATTTTCGGTCTCTAGACGTCATCCCGATTCTGAAAATATACATATTGAAGGGTATTTGGTAGTATTTCCCGCTTTTTCTAAAACCGGACGCCGCCATCTTGGATTCCAAACATCGATTTTCGGCAGCTTTCAGTTGTGTCCGTTCCAAAATTACCCATCACTGCAAACACGAAGTTCAGCGCCAAGATTCAAGCTACTTCGAGTCAGAGGTGAAATCACGTCAAAACAACACACTTCCAGTTATTTCTATCTTGTTATGTCTTGCATCCAAAGCGACATCCATTTATTAGAAAATGACCAGCGGCAGTTTTGTCGCGACAGAATGGAAGAATGACATGACAGACTTTTTTCGTCAATAACCATGTCGACAGTTTCCGTCAATCTTGTCGTCCGACGTACGTGAAACAAGTAAGTCATTCTGGAAACAGATGTTTCGTGACCAATTGAGAGAAAGACAAGAATAGAAAATGTTTCGTCGAGAGACAGCCCAGTAAATCAGTCTTTCAAGCAGAAGTTTGTTGCATCGTGCTTGTCAGATGACCGTTGACTTTTTGTTGTTGTCGTTGTTACATAGTTTATCGTCATGAGGTTGACAATTCCCAAGCCTGATTTAGATAAGTTCCATACACTTCAAATTAGATCTCCACAGATCTCCATAAATATTCAAAGAACCTTGGATTCCCTTTGGCGTCATTGAAGAGTCCCTCCTATGTTTCCTTAGTTAAATGTTTTATTAAAGGGTTTCAAACAAGGTACTGGCACGCAGCCATCTTTTCGTAGGCAGCATAAAAAAGTTAAAACAAAGCAATCAAAACTAGACCCAAGCGTGGGCCCGCGGTTATGCTCGCTGCGGCTACTTGTTATTAGTAGAGATAGGGGTGCCCCTTTCCTGGTTTCAAAGCTTCTCTGTGGTTCCACTTTGAGCATACCTGAGCATACGCTGGAGTTTCATTATTTTATTTATGGATTTCAATGCATCTTCCATGTTCTCAAAAAAGTTTGTTGAACATTCTTGAAGTACACTGAAGTTCTCAGAGGATCCCCTGAATTTCTCTAAATTTTGCCTGGGCTTCTGTGAGGCTCCTTGACTTTATCAAAAGTTTTTCAAGCTCGTCTGAGGTTCTCTGGATATTTCTGATATGCTATGCCTCTGAGGTTCTCCTGAACTTCTCTAAAGGTCTTTTGAACTTCTGATTGGTTCTGAAAGACGTCTTTGAGAGTCCTCCTGGACAACGTTCATTAGTTTCAAAATTTTCGTACCTTAGAGCCATACTCTGTGTTCTCAATAAAAGTGCGCACCCTAGTGAATAGTGATCCATCGTGCTTCTTCGAAGCTTCCGGATTTCGAAGGTTTTCTGACCATTTTTTCTGAAGTAGTCTGTACATATTTGAGGTTCTCTAAAAATTCTTGATTTTATTTAAGGTTGTCAATCCTTCTTGCATGTTCCCTGAATTGTTTTCCAACTTCTCTGAGTGCGGATGTTTTTTGAAGTTCCCATGAAATTCAATATTTTTTCCAGAGCTTCTTTGAGGTTCCCTGACTATGCATTTCTTTTAAGTTCTCCGAACTTATTTAAGGTTCTTCTAAACTGGGATAACAGCTTCTCAGCTTCTCAGTTTCCGTGGACATCCTAGAAGAGTCTTTCCGAGGTTCCCTTAAGCTTCTTCCAAGGTTCCTGATGTAATTTAAAGTCGACAGAGCTGCTCTGAGGTTTCCTAAAGCTTCGTATATGTTCCCATAACTGCTTTATGATAACTTACACGTATTTCAAGATAAATCGCTCTGAGGTTTCGGTCGAATTTTCCCTGAGGGGTCCCTGAACTGTACTGAACAATTACCTTCTCTGAGATTCCCCTGAACTTCTGTTAAGTTCACTTGAGCATTTCTTTCGGCTTTGTGGGACGCCTTTGAATAATCCCTCTGGGGTTTTCTGATTTTATTTAAATGTTTTCAAAGCTTCTCTGAGGCTTTCTGAAATATTCTGATGTAGTCTGAGTATATCTGAGGTTCCATAAATTTATCAAAGATTTTATTTAAGATTTTCAATCTTTCTGAACCTCTATGAAGTACGCTGGAGTTCCTTTAATTTTTTTTTGTGAATTATACCTGAGCTGCTTTATGGTTCTCTGACTTTATTTAACTTGACTTTATTTAAGATTTTTCAGGCTTCTCTGAGGTCTCCTGATCACTTACTCGCACTTCATTGAAGTAAACTGGAATTTCCCAAGGCTCTTCTGAACTGCCCCTCTACTGCGTTTCTCATTGGGTCCTTTGGATGACCTTAAAGAGTCTATCTGAGGTTTCCAGAAGCGTCTTCGGGGTTCCTGATTTTATTGAAGGTTTCTAAAATTTCTCTCATGTTTACTGAATTGTTGTTTGAGCCTCGTTGATCTACGTTGAAGTACGTTGATCTTCTTGGAGGTTCCTCTCAACCAATTTATATTTTACTTAAGCTTTTTTGAGATCCCCTGAAATTCTCTCGTTCGTTTTCGTTCAATTTCGTTATTGTATTTAAGCCGAAGACATCATATACAGAAGACTGGCAACTTTGCCAAAATCCAAGCGACAGATACAGTAGCGCTGCACTTGAGCGAAGGTGGAAGCAACGCATAGAAAAATGAGCAAATACACAAACCTTTCTTCTGAGGATGTAATCTTTGCTATCAAATTCTTTCGAAGCATTTACCTTTGAGCGGCAGATGACGCGAGTGTACCATAGAGGTAACTCTAAGACCAGAAGGTCCCGAAGATACGAGCTCAACTTTTTGGCTCAGCTCTGGTACTCTCTTCGGTCCCAAGCTAATCGATGCACCCCTCGAAACATAGGAAAATCCACGAACCCCTCATTTTATCTGTCAAACTTTCATAGCGAATCAAAACAAACATAGTGTAGTACTGGAATTTATACTAGAATGGGGTACGTTAATCGATTTGCTTGTACCAATAGGCTAGTCAAGTAGTGAGCCAATTTAAAATCGTTAGTTTCGTATTGATTGTTGATTGTACCTCCCATGTATCATTGCAAGTGTTATTGCGGTTTTAAAGTATTCTATGAGTGTAAATCATGGTCTACAGAACCCTCATAAAACCGAAATTGTTACTTGGGCTGCGGTCGTACGAGATAAGGCCAGTCTTCTTGATATGTTGTCTTTGCTTAAGCTCTATAAATTTATTTGATGACCTCTGAAGTTCTCTGAAGTTTGCTTAGACGCCTCTGAATGCCCGCTCCCACGTTTCCAGAAATGTTTATGAAATCAATGAATGCCTTACTGTATATTTGCCATCTAAATCATATTTTAGCTACATTTATCTATTCTCACCTATGTGCTGTACAGTCAACTATTGTTAGTTGGGCTGAGCTGTCAAGCTGAAAATGTGTTGAGGGATACACCGATTGATTATTATAATCAAAATCCTTGAGCATGTATCCAAATTGTTCATCCATGAGCCCCTCGAAAATGAATCAGCACTGTCAGCAATGACGTTTGACTTAGGTGGCCTCAACTTAAACGTAGCCCACCTAAAGATAACCCAACGAGCGAAATTCGACTGTACTTCCACAGTTGTCTTAGCTATTATTAGTTATACACTGAAGCATAGCAGCTTAGTATTAGCACTAAGTTATGAAGAGTTGGCTACCTAACCTCAAATATGCACCAAATCACGTCACACTACTTAATCATAACCAATTTTCCAGGGTCTCAACGCGCTGTGCGACACGATGGAGGAATGCTGGGACCACGACGCCGAGGCACGCCTCTCGTCGTCCTGCGTAATGGAACGGGTATCGCAGCACAGCCGGTACCAGGTCATCACACCGCTGCTGATCGAAACCAACACTACAAATGACCTGCCACCGAAGGTTGCTTCGGAAAGCGTATAAACACGTAGAGTACCAAAACGATTCATCAAACAACATTAAAAGCAACAACAACAACAACAAAAACAGAGATTTAACTACCACTCCCTCGTTTCTACCCCTGAAAATCCCTTCCCATATTGTGGCGCTTCGCTGTCACATGTCTTCTTTTCTTTCTTTTTGTTTTTCGTCATATGCAAGCATATGCGACCAGAAGGGATCGTCCAATTTTACTTTAATTTCAACTCTAGATATTTAAGAGCAAAACAAATATCACGTAGCAAGTAGGTAAGGAACCCCCCGTTTCGGACTTACGGATTCATCAGACGAACCGAACGAACTTGATGTTCAGGGATTTTACAAAACTAAAATAACAATCGATGGTAGTGTTCTATAAGGCAAGCAATATATAGTGGAAAGAGTGCAGCTTTAGCGTGAATTAAACAACATGTCTAGGAATGTCATGAGAGGCCTTTTCCGGTTGCAAGCGACCGGTAAAAAAAATTACGGAAAATAAACCTGGTTTGACTGATGATCTATGTTTGGACTGGGCTGGAGAGCCGCGGCGGCCATCCTGAGGATGGCTTTGCGAGAGAATCAAAATAAATGAAAATTAATTAAGCTACCTAACTGTTTATCGGAAACAACGGAAAACAAGTCTCAGTGAGTTAACCCTGGTGGTGCCCAATGCCAAGGGGTTATAGTTTTATATAATTTCATCTTTTATGTCGTAGAATTTGTATTCATTCGTTTGATGAATATAGGGTATATCTTCAATCGTCGTTGAACGCTCCCATACTCCAAGGGAGGAGAAATCACTGTGTAAGGTAACAGCTCCATTGCGGCGGTGAGTCGTCGCGGAAAAATAAGATATATTTTTATAACAATTTTCCTCCAATATTGTACTTGTATGCCATGTTTAGTTCAATAAAGGTTAATCTAATTAGAGTTAGTCATGGGTGGCCATAAATTTTTTTTTCTATCACAATTCATTTTTATCTATGCGTCTAAACACTGCTGATTCGAGTCGTTTATGTCACCCGATTCTGGTAGTCGAATGCAGTGACAAATGTTGATATGAATGAATTCTGATGAACTGTCACTGTTAGGCCTATTCTGCGCGGCGTGTGAGGTGAGATGACTCGCTGTCACTAGTGAAGTGACAATTGTCACCTAGGGTGAGGTGACTCTCCATTTGATTTGCATGGAGACTCACCTCACCCGCGGTGACAATTGTCACTTCACTGTTACCTCACCTCACACGCCGCGCACAATAGGCCTATGTATTCTCGTTGCCGATATAGATCGACAAAACCCGAGTCGGATTGACGTTTTCGCGCGAGTCTTGTCGGTACGTCTGAATCAATCGAGAACGGTTTAGAATAAAGGAACGTGGAAGCGAATATAATATTGAAAATAATGGATTTTAGAGTTCGCGCAACCAACAGGAAGCAATTTGAGCTTTTAGCTGACCGGGCACATCCGTCGGTTGCCAGAAGGCAAAAATTTTGCGAGCCGGCTGTAATTGCAGTTGACGAGCTGCTAAGATGCATCTAAACACATTCTTCATTACTCCAATAGTTCTCGATACTATCATCCTTGTTTTTGAATGGATTTTATTAAATTTAGTCTGCCTTGCATCGCCAGAAGAACTGAATAGTGTGATCAAAGAAGGGTATCCTGCAAAGGTTTTGATTCAATAAATCTGACACGTGTTATTTTTTTGTTTTTTTACCCAAAAGCCAAGAATTTCTTTCCCCATTCTGATGTTGCTGATTTAGCGCAACATCCAATGCATTAATTTTCCAGGGTTTTTAGCATCCACGAATCGAATCATCTGTTAATGATCACACACCTGTAAAGAGTGTACAAAAACAATAATTCATAGTGATGCTACAAATAATCACACATACGAGCATAACGTTCAAACTGCGAAATCCTTTCGTGTTGTAATACTATAAAGATGTTGAAAATTGCTAACCGGCTTGAAAATCCGAACGTGCGTACCATCAACGCACCCTATTACACAAGAGAATCCGTTTTTTAATAGAATCCAAGTTTGGTTTCACCCTTTTTGTCATCTGAAACAGGGAATTGTATGGCTGATGGAGAAACTTCTGCTTGAAAAACATCAATAACCGCTGACAATTAATGCTTTTGATTGAGTCGGTTGTGCTAAATATTCCTATAAACAGATCGTTGCCAACACCTTTTTTGGTAGAATCTTAATGCTGCTGATAGTTTTAACATCGGCTACACAGATGAAGATTTAAGGGGTTACGCCTACCTGCAAACTTTCAAAAAATCGATTTTTTTTTTATTTTCCCAATCGAAAGTATATAAACATAAAGTCAAGAATATTTCCTCAAAAGATCAAGTTGATCCGATGAACATTGTGAAAGTTATGCGACGTACAAACATATTCACTTATAGTGGACTAAACCCAACTTGAAACTTTAAACGCGATTATCTCGGAAACATATTTTCAAAACCGGTGCCAAAAATTTCTCGAAATGTATACATTCGATTTGTCCGATTCGTTTTGATTTCTGTTCAGTACTATTTTGTGCAGTCCACGATCGTTCGGATTTCGTCTATCATTTCATTTCGATTTTTTACAGCCGATCAAAGACAAATTTTAAGGATCAAAAATCGGCACTTCAACTTTGCAAGGTCGCCATTTTGTCATAAACATTAAAAAAAAAAACCGAACGATCAAGGACTAGTTTAACCATGCTTAACGATTTGGCATGGTTTTTTTTTTATTTCAGATGATTACATCACAAACCGCAGTTGGCACCGCAAAAAGCGTTTTTTAGAACATCGTCCACGGGGAGCAGCCGTGCGGGGCACCAAGACCTCGTTTTTACAGCATCGACTGATAAATGTACCATTTAATGTGTGTTCAATAAACGGCAGTGAACCGATTTTCAATATGTTGCGTCGTTTTCGAGAAAAAAAAAATCCAAACTTTCGCTTTTTTTGGTCTTGCAGGTAGGCGTAACCCCTTAATACCTTCTTATGCATCCTCCACAGTGTTGAGCAGAGTTCTTTGGAAACTCAAAAATAATCGGTAAATCTGAAAAAAAACTAGATTATTTAAAACAGCGTCGTTTTCAACAAATACTAACGAATCTTGTGGTATATCCAAAGGATTGCTCATATCTCTCAATCTGCGACGCTCAAGTCATGGTATGGAAATTAACTCACTATTTAAACCACCAACAGAGAAAATACTGTCACCATACTACGGACTCGTTCGACTTTGGCTGCTTTACGAAGAAATATCAAGCTGAACATTGCATTAGGTCCAAGGGGTGGTCACTTTACACCTCGCTTTACACATTTATTTTGAGCCACATTTTTTCTCAGTGTGCCGCAGTTGTGTCGAAAGTGATGAGAGTGCAGAGGGCGTCACATCTAATTCGCTATTCTAGATGCTCGAAAAATCTCACACTAGCGAATCAATCTACGAAAAATCTTCTTTCATTTCTCGCATCTACTTGCATCGTGCATCATCTTTTTGCAGGAAATCTTCAGAATCATCATCAATCTTCTTTCTATCTACTTAGCGTGCGCACAGCTAATTACAGCAAAACAAAATGTTTCCTGCATCGTAGATAGAGTCACCCCCTCGTGAGAGAGCAAGTCGTCGGACTGAGGGGGCTACTATCAGCGATGCAGGAAATACACGCTGAGTAGATAGAAGATTTACTGCAAAAAGATGATGCACGATGCAAGTAGATGCAAAAAATAATGCAATTCGACAAAAATTCTTTGCTTTTTTTCTCCCTTTTTATGGCACAGACCTGTTGGTCCATATTTTGTTTTCTCTGCTTGTGCATAAAGTCATGCTTGGAAATCCGTTTAATTTGACAGTTCGAATTTTTTGTTTTGAAGGAACTACACAACAAGCAGTGTAATCCGAACCAAGGCGATGCTCCAGAGGCACCTCAACGAACAATTTGAGTTGATCAAAAGCTAAATAAGCAATTTTTTAGCTGAAGAAGCTTATTTTTGCATGAATAAGCTCTTATTCAACATGTAATGTCTGTTGGGACTCTAGTGGACAAACTGACTCGTCCGGAGGATCCCCTCGAAAAATTTACTTCGACTACTGCAGATGCTTAGCAAAGCATCGAAACGGCATTCGGAATTCACAGCCTCCGGGGCGAACAGCTGCTAATGTTGAAATCGCTTCAACTTTTACAAACAACTTGCTAGGCCCTTTTCAGGCGAACCGAAGAACGTCCACGCAAACCAAGATCACTATCGGGAATGGGGAAATTTACTGGTGTTGTTTATAAAAGATAATAGGCCTTTTCTAAAGTTACGCGAGCATTACGTAGTAGTTTTTAGTAAACACGGCACCGCTACAACGTCAAATATTTTCGTGAGTTCATTCCGTGCATTGGTATATACTAGTAATCCTATTTACAGAGATTCGCGGAAATAAAGACTGGAACGCGCAAAAATTGGTCGAAAAAAAAACTTTTCTTTCAGTCAAAATTCATATCACAAAAATCTTCTGATTTTTCTTTTGGTGGTTCAATTCAAGAGCAAATTTTCATTACGTCGAATGTAACAAAGGTAAACAAAGTCGAGCTATCAGTGTCAATCGATGCTCCTGCTATTACACTATATACTGTCCGAATATAGGATCACATCCCATTTTTAAATTTATTTACCAGTCGAATTGCTTTTTGACGTAATCACCTTCCGATCAAAATAGTTTTCGATGTTACTTAAGTCACCCAATTTCTATGGAGATGCCGTTTGCCTTAAGTAACAGCACTGAGAAACCCGTGAAAAGTGTACTTTCGTCGTTTCACTTTCTCATTATTAAAGTGAATAAATCGAACTGTTTGTTGCTAAGATGATTTCGGTGGTCCTAAAATGATGAATGGGCTGCACGTAAGGAGACGTAATTGATAATTCTCCCGAATATCCTGGTAAATACACTTTGACTTAAGTAACAATAGGGGCCACCAAACGACGTATAATAACTTTTGACTCAAAAACCAGTATTTCTTAGCATGAAAGCTAGCGATTTGCCTTTGTATGATTAAAACCCGGCTAAATATGTTAAACATTGCTATCACTATGAGATTATATGTGTTTAATTGGAAATAGGAATAACTTTTCGGTCATCAAAACAAAACTTTATTTTTCTCGGATCGGTGCGAATGTTACTTACGACATAATGAAAATTTGCTCTTGAATTCATATATTTAAAGAAAAAAATGTTTGGTTATTCTTTTGGTTTGTCAAATCCGAACTGCCGTGCCTTCCGCTTAACCACTTCCATTAAATTTTGCACAGTGGTCTCATCGACCTTATTCGCCGCCGAACGCCAGTTAGATTTAAACTGCTGCTCGTTTTCCATGGATTTATTAGTTTTTTGAGATTTCGTTTGACCAAGACCCAATACCGTTCGATAGGGCGGAGTTCTGGGCTGTTGGGAGGGTTGTGGTCTTTGGGTACCACAACCACGTTATTCGCATCGTACCACTCGATTGCCTTTTTCCCATAGTGGCAGCTTGTCAAGTCCGGCCAGAACAGCTCAGGTCTATTATGTTGCTTTAGGAATGGTATCAGTTGCTTTTCCAGGCACTCCTGGACGTAGATCTCTTGATTGATGGCTCCGTAGTAATGAAAATGCCACGTGCATATGGCCTGCCAGACGAGATATTTTTTCGGGAACTTCGATAGTTTGATGGTTTTGAAAATTTCAGCCACCTTCCCTTTTCCTGATACGGTATAAAACTCCTGTCCCGGAAGCTGCTTGAAATCCGCGTTCACATAAGTTTCGTCGTGAGAACGTCGGATTCTCTAGCTGCACGAGCAAAATTTTGACACGCTGCTCCGCTTGCTTGGACGTCATTTTGAAAACTGGAGAGGGGCTGTTCATTAACTGTCTACGTAGTTTATGAACAGCCCCAAAGCAAACGGTG